AATTGTGTCTTTAGAACCCCCTCCTCCCGTGCACTGAGAGCAGCCACCTCTCTGGTGCTAACATCGATGCGCACAGGAAGTTGTATTAGCTACCCTTTGCTGCAGAGGCAAACCTGGGGCAGGCGGCCTATCAGGCAAAGAGATTTATTGTGGCGCGCAGCTCTGGAGCGTCAGCGTCAGGTCGGCCGGCTCTGCAGGGTGCGCCTCGGTGGCCTGGCTGAGGGGGAAGCGCGGGCAAGCCGTGCTGCGCTGCGCAGGAGTTGCTCATCTCCCTGGACGCAACATTGTCCTTATTTTGATGCTGCACTGTAAAATGTTTTCTTTCCCCTAAGATGATAAAAGATGCAGAATGGGGGCCACCACACAGAGTAAACAAAAAGCTCGTACTTCCTGTAAAAACTGCATGCAATAGTAAAACTAGTTTGTTACAAGAAATAAATGAATTTGTAAATATGCTCATTCACTTAAGGTGTAAATGCTTTCCTTATTTCCTTTTCTTTCTTTGCTTTATGAATGTATAAGTTGCACACAGTGTATGTCCACAGGTGACGTCTCTCTCTAAGGAGCTGAGAGTTAATAAAGAAAATTAAAAATTTGTTTTCACAAAGAGCTTAACTGAACCTGAACTGGAAACAACCACATGAACTTATTATTTTTACAGTTTCCATCTTAGGTGCTCTACGATGTCACACTGTGTGGCACGATTCAGTATCCACGAGTAGCCAGGTCAGTCGAGCTGCCCACTGGGCAGGCCACTTCCTTGGAGGCTGTGGACCACCGAAGAGGAAGCCGGCAGCTCATGGGGCTCTGGTTGGCAAACCGTGTTGGAACATCCAAAAGGAATGCATGAGTTTGTGAAATTATTATGGTTTATTTGGTTTGTTGAGACAGGGTCTTGCTATGCAGCTCAAAATGGCCTTGAAGTCTTAGTCCTCCCAGTTTTAGCCTCCTGAATGCTGAGATTACAGATGTGTTCAACATCTGGCTTGACTTATCAATTCTTACTGTTACTCAAAAGGAAATATTTATGTGCTATGATAAAGAAAAAAATGGAATTTGAAAATTGTATTTACATAAAATGTCACATATTGCTTAATTCATACTATTTGTTGAATGAAGTTTAAGCCAAATTACAGAATAAAATATTAAGTAATAATCTTGAAACCTGATGTATATCTGTATATAACTGCACAAAATCCCATTAATGGAAGCGGAAAAAGTCATGAAAAATATTATTTTAAAAGCTGTATAACAGATTGTAATTTTTTTTTTTTTTTTTTTTTGTATTTTAGGAAAGGGTCTGCAGGGTGTTCAGGTCTCACTACTAGATCGGACTCACAGTGATCCACCTGTTTACAGCCTCCTAAGAGCTGGGATTACAGGCATATGCCACCACACCCAGTCTCAACAGGCCTGGGGATTGAACCCCCAGTCCCTGCACCTGCTTGCAGGCGCTTTAATCTGCTGAGCTATTTGGGTGGCCATAAGATTGTAGTTAAAAAGAAAAAAAAGAATCCAGTAAAATATAACACACCAATTTCTAGGAAAGAGAGAGTCATGCAAGGTTTTACTGGTTTAGGCAGAGGCCTAGTTCCACAGCATAAGTCAATAGTTTTATAATCATGAAAGTTCTTCCAGATTTTTGTGCTAATGGCCTGGTCTCCACACTCATAATTCAGTCAGGTCTGGCATTTCTAGTGGATAACCCCAAATCTGTAATCTAAGCTTACACGGCATAGGATCTCTATTCATTCTGTAGAGGAAATTCATCTTATTATTCAAGAAGGTACAAAATACGTATAGACAGATGACAATTTTTTTTTTTTTTTTCTGAACCAGGGATTGAACTCAGGCTCTTGTGCTCGGCAGGCAAGCTCTTATTCTACCCAGCCATCTCCTGGCTCCTAAAATACATATAGAGAGAGATGATGCTTGTCTAAAACTTAAGTTAGTACTAACAGTAATTTTAAGTGGAGCTGGTGGTGTACTGCGGTGGTAAAGGGCTTGCGTAGCATGCAGGAAATCCAGGACAGGAACAAAAATCGATGATGCTATAGCAATGGGTATACCTAGCACTCCTACCTTGTAACATTCTACCTACTTCTGGGAGTGGTGGTGCACGCCTATAAATAATCCCAGCACTCAGGCGGCTGAGGCAGGAAGATGGTTGTGAGTTTGAGATCAGTCTGGGCTACAAAGTGAGTTGAAGTCAGCCTGAGCTGCACAGTGAGACACTTTCTTAAAAAAAGACCCCCCAAAAAATCTATCTACTTTTTGAAATATTTGAGAGAATCAAGCACATTAAACTTGTGATTATAATTAGAAATGCTTATCATGGTTGGTGTCATATATATTCTTGGTTGTTCCGTAAGTTAACCTACTGACTAGAGGCAAGGATGTCTCAAATGGCAGAGCTTCTACCATTTTCCTTTGCTCCTTCAGTCTTTTAGTAGGGAGTGACAACAGTGGCAAGGTGGGATCTGAGGTCCAGGCCTTGCCAGCCTCTATTTTCAGGAGCCATGGCTGTCTTCATCTTGGTTTGGGTTAATGGGCATTTGGATTGTTTCCAAGATTTTTCTATGACAAATTGCACTGCCATAAACACACATGCACATATATCACTGATGTTTTTAACTTTTCTGGGAAGATACCCAGAAGGGAAATAGCTGCGTCCAGTGGAACTTCTAATCCTAGTTTTTGAGGAGCCGCCACACTGATTTCCGTCATGGTTGTACCAGTCTGCACTCCCACCAGCAGTGGAGAAGCGTTCCTCTTTCCCCAGAGCCTCGCCAGCATTTGAAGTTGGTTGAGTCTCCGCCCCCTCCCGCTATAAAGCAGTGAACTCGGCCTTGCTTGCCAGGCAGGCGCTGCACCCCTGAGCTACATCCCTGCCCAAGAGGAGGTCTCAAGGGCTACTTGTTTTAAGATCACCCAGAGTGCCGTAAAAGGCAGCCTCTGGAAAAGCCAGGACTAGGCGCCCCACCGCCCCGCAGGCTGCAGGGTGCGTGGGTCACTGCCGCTGGCCCTCAGTGCCCTTTCTCACAGGCTGCGATCAGCCAACCACTGAAATTCAGTCTCTGCTGGAGTAAGGTGGAGGCCATGTGGTTAGAGCAGGTGCAGAGCACAGGGCCCGGCCGAGCTGTGAGAGCTTACTGATTTGTTTTCTTCTAGCTTTATTGTATTACAACAAAACAGGAAAACAGCCGAGCTGCCAGGTTTGCTTTGTCCCTGACAGTTGAAGTCATGTTTTATTTCTGCATTGCTTCTTCTCTAGCATTATTTCACTCTACACTTTCCTTGGTTTTGCAGAGTACTCTCCAACGTTCTGTATTTCTAATGAAAATTAATTTTTGAAATTCTTGTCAATGTCTGTGAGCGTGTTCTGCTTTTCACCAGAGTAGAGTTGTAAGAAAAAGTGTATTCCACCAAGCTAGGCCCTTCTAGTCCTAGTCTAGAACTTTTTTAGGGTGTTCAGGGTCTCACTACTTGAAATCGAAGTGATTCTGTTGTTCACAGCCTCCGATCCCAGCTGGGATTACAGATGTAATCCCAAGCCACCACACCCAGTCTAGATTGCCTTCTCAGGGTGCCCCTGGGATGGGGCCGGCACAGTAGGCTTGGAGATTGAACCCCGGCCCCTGCTTGCAGCAGCTTTAATCCGCTGAGCTATTTTGCCAGGCCTTAGATTTCCCGTGTATTTCTGCCTAAAACTCTTTAGTGTTCCTACCTGGTAGCAGTTCTCCTACGAGCTTGTGTTTGCATAGGAAATACCAGGATCTTGGGCCTCTTGTAATGACGAAGTGATCAGAGCAGAGGTCTTCACGTGTATTGTAACTTCCTTAAGAATTTCATTGAAAGGCATCACTTTACAGAGCTCCTATAAAGCTTGCGTTGTTTCCCCAGTTTCCTGAGTGTGTTGAAAACCTATTGCAAACCTTAAACTATTTGGTCCAGCTGATAGTAGCAATGCCGAGTGACTGAAGGGACCAGGTTTCCTCGGTTATTCCTTTTCTATTTCTTTTACCTCTTGCACTTTGACTATGAGAAGATAATCGGTGGAGAGGCACTTTAAACATTTTGTAATATATTTAACATAAAGCAATGAGGATGACAAAACTACTAAAATCACCAGGACCAACGGATAGCGGTTTATTTTAACCAGAACCGTGGACTTCATCTTATCATCATAATTATTGCCACAGACAAAACTCTTGGATCAATTTCACACCCTATAAACAAACAAACGACAAACCCAACCCCGCGTCTGAGTTCTCGGGCTTCCTGGCCGTCGGGAGAAGCGCAGACGGAACATCGGGAGCTCCGAGGCCTCTCCAGCCTGCACCTGCACCCCTCGGGGTCCGCGAAGGTTCGCGCCTTCTTCTTCCTAGACTCCGTGCGCCCAAACGCTCCGCGGAAGACGCGACCGAGGAGCCCATCGCCGGGGCGAGAAGGGGTGACCCGTGCGCGCTCACCTGGGACCGCTCGGACTTCCAGCCCGAGGGTCGCTTAGCGCACGTAGGGGCGGAGCCCCGATCCCCGCTTGCCCCGCCCCTGTCCTCGCCCCGCCCATCACCCTAGCCCCGCCCCCATGTAGACCTTGCCCCGTCGCGCCCCGCCCTCTCTTCGCCCTGTGCACTGACATTGCTCGGTGGCACCTTCCACGCTCCCCATGTAGATCTCGTTCACGCGCGAAGAGTCCCCAGTGCGACCCCTGCCCGGCCCCTCTCCTCGCCCCGCCCACAAGACATTGCCATGCCCGAGCCACGCCTCTTTCCGTCCCACGCCAGCCTCGCTCTCACGTGCAGAGTTCCGCGTGCAGACCCCTCGCCCCGCCCCTCCCCCTCCCCTCGTCGCCCCGCCCCCTCCCCGCCCCCTCTCCGCCCCTTGCCCAGGTTTCGCTCCCACGCGCGGAGTCCCGGAGTCTGCAGCAGCCCTCACTTCTCGTCGCTTCCTCCACCGGCTGCGACCCCTCGACCGGCTCGCAGCGGGCGCCGGAGGACATGCGACCGGCCACGGCGGGCGGCCCTCTGCGCGCGCTCCTCCTGCTGGCGCTGGCGCTGGCGCTGTCCCCGCCCGAGACCCACGCGCGACCGCGGGGGCGCAGAGCCGCGCGCGCCGAGAAGCCCAAGACCTCGCTCCCGTTTCCCGCGCCGGCGGCCGGCACCTCCCGCAGCGCAGGTGAGTCCTCGCCCGGCCTCGGCGAACCGGGGAGCCCTGATCGCCCCTGGGGAGCCAGGCTGCGGCTCGTGCGATGGGCCGTGGCTTAAACCAAATCGGGCGCGGAGCGGCTGGGCGCGCGCTCCCTTTCCCCGGCTGGCGGCCCCTTCTCATCACCGATAGCACAGCAGGAAGATCCGGCTTCCGTCCCACGGAGGCACCGTGTGGCCGGGCGGCCCAACGGTCAGCGCCTCCTTTCGGGTTCTTGTGCCTTTGTAAAGATTCAGTGAGGTCACCGCTCAGAGGCCCGAACATTCTCAGGGTTGACCTTTCCTTGTCCCTTCAAGCTGGCCTGGGCTGCTGGGGCCCAGGGCAGTTCGGACTTTCCCGCGTGTTTGGGGACCACGTGCCACCAGCTGCTTCCAAATCAATGCTGGGCACTGCGTCCTGCAGCTGTGGTGCTTGGTGGTGAGCGCAAGGCGGAGCAGGAGTCGCTACTCTAGGGTTAAAGGCGTCCCGGGATGAGGAAATGAAGAGGGAAGGAGGAAAGGCCGGGCAGGGGCAGTGTTTGGGGTACGCGGCTCGAAATGAGGTGCTGAGGAAAGGCGACGGACAGTCTGCTCAGAGGGTCTCTTTTCAGGTCCACGGCAAGGTGGGGCAGGTGGCAGAGGCTGGGAGGGAAGGGTCTGAATTCAGGGCACTGCGTCCCACCTAGAGAGAGAGAGCACCGAACTCCGGGGTTGGGAGGGGCTCCGGCGCCCCCTAGACCCAGGACGCGGGCTGCTCCAGGCGCCTCTTCCGCCTCACACTTACTGCTTAGTGTTGTTTGCATTTCACAATAGGATGACGGCCATATATTCATTCCCTCCACGGTCATACTGAACACTTGTCTGCGTGCCAGCCGCCTTGCAGGGGCTCAGGCTACCTAGGGCACACCCAGGGAAAGTGTGTGTGTGTGTGTGTGTGTGTGTGTGTGTAGTGCCGCCTGCCTTGAACGGAAGTGGAAAATGGTGTCCTGCTCTTCAGGTGGGTGTGAAGCAGGAGTTGGGAACGCTTGGGAGGCTGAGGTGAGTGCTGAGCCAAGTGTGAGGACGGCCCAGGCTGGCCGTTCAGGCCGACTGGTAGGTGGCAAGCCTTCAGGAGGGGACCGCGACAGTAACCAGGGACGCCATGGCAGTGCCACACTTGCCTGGATCCGCTTGGATTTACAATTGCTGTCTTCCCAAGTACTGATCTCACAGGACGCAGTGACCCTTTGGGATGAGCAAGGAGTGGGGGCAAGTCTCCAAGAGGAGGAGCATTATGGTGCTGCGCTCATCCAGACCTCAGTTTTATTCATGCTGTAATAGATCTTTTCTCTCTGGATAATGACAGTGAAGATCTTCTCTTTGGTTAATGGAGACTTACTGACACTGATGTGAGTTACGAGGGAGAGAGAGGCATGCTTTACTTAAAGTGAATAGTGGCCACAATCTGAAGTCTTGAAAAGTAAGACAGGCTGACCGAGAAGGACCCGGAGGCTGCTCCTAAAGTCCCTTGCTCTCTACAAGTGCTCATGGACGTTTCGCCTTTCGGTTGTTGCGCTGAGTTCAGGGTGGCTTGTTACACCGGAAGTGAGGTGTGGCTGGGGCCCTTGGGCACGGGTTTGGGACAAGCAGGAACGCAGAGAAGACAAGGACCCCTGAGGGTGTTCTCGTGGGACGTGCGCGGGAGGTGACAAGTGGCATAGCTCATGCGCAGGCGATATTTTCTAGGTCCTGGAGGCTGAGCGCTCCCACCCCACCTGCGTCCCAGTAAGCACCCACACCCAGCATAATGGACTTGCCTGGATTCTGAAATGCCCTTGCCAGTAGCAGATGATAACTCGGGCAGTTTCTCCTCCAGAGGGCGCACAACGCAGATCCCTCCTGACCCAGAGACGTGGGGTCTCCGGTCCCTTACATGAGCACGCAGCTGGTCCAGCCAAGGACAGCCACAGATTGTGCTGTGCCTCGGCTCCACTCTCACATCTCCTCCCTGGGGCGGGCTGATCTCCCGGGCGAAGAGCTCAGGCTCTAAGACTGAGCCCTGCTCTTGCCCCTGCCTTTCAGGTGCCAGTCTTCTCCCTGTGCTTCTGAATGACCACCTGAAGTCAGGGTTCCCACAATCCACTCCTCAGGCTTGATTAATTTAATAGAGTGGGTTGCAGAGCTCAGGGGAACACATATACTGATTTATGATAAAGAATGTTACAGAGGATACACAGATGGAGGTGTGCGCAGGACATGGTATGAGGGAAGGGGCACAGTTTCTCTCTGCCCTCCGAGCATGCCACCTCCATGCATGTCCGTGCTTTCAGGGCCCTCTGGGAATTTTGTGTTTACAGTTTTCATTGAGGAAATTTCATTACATAGACTTGACTGTTTACACATTGATCAGTATTGATCCATATAACCTTCAGCCCCTGTCCCTCCCAAGGGAGTCCTGATCCTCTAGTCTTGCCTTGGGGATTCTGAAGCTACCTGGGCACTGGTTGCCATCAGTCAATTCATTAACATACAAAAACACATGCCTATTTCAGAGTCCAAGGATTTTAGGATTTTTATTGTACAAGAACAAAAATACCTTTCACAGTATTGTAATAACGTACAGGCATGCATTCTCCCTTTTTGGTAGTTGGGCAGCTTCTTCATGTGGAGATGTGAGGCTGGAAGTGGGGGAACTGTTTCCAGGAAGAAGAAGCAGTAGGCATGAGAGCCTTTAGGCAGGCCAGCAAGATGGCGGCTCTTGGCGGGGGAGTGGGTGAGCTGTGGGTACGGGAGTCCTCAGGATTCACCATGCTAGGCTTTTTCTCCCACGAGCCCCCACCTTCATGAGGGCCTTCAGCCACTCGCTTAGCCTTCGACACACAATTGGAGTCACTCTGATGGGCCTAGGGTTACGAAGTCAGCACCTGGTGGCTGTCATTCTTGAGGAGTCAGCTCACCAATAGATCTGGTTCTTCCGCTTCTTGTCCTTCCCAACACCCTGGTTCAAGCCATCATGACTCAGTTGTCTCCCTGAATCTTCTTGGTACTCCTGCCAGTCTATCTTATTGGGACAAAAATAAAGAATTAGGAGGTTTCATAACCTTTACTGCCACCCTCTTGTGCTGTTCTGTCCTCCCACTTTCTCTGATTATCCTGCTAGCAGAAGGAAGCTTGTAAAGTCTGTCATTGGAAAGGGACACTCAGTACTCGCCCACTGAAATGTAGACACCGTGAGGAGGCTTTGATGTCGGGCGCTGTGAAATGAAGCGATGGTTTGCCTCAGTTAGAGAAGAGGTGGCAAGTGGAGCGATCGGAGCCTAGGAGGACCGCTGGGATGTTTTATTGAATAATATGCCCCCATGTAGCCTCTTTCTTTTCAAAGGATTTCAGGAAATACTTACAATTTTTCTGTAGACTTTATAGAACCAGGTCCATGTTGTTTTCGTGTAAAACTTTGCTGATGTGGAGCTTAAGGAGAATCTTAGAAGATCGCTTTGGGGAGGTTATCCTAAGGAATTACAGATGAGCATTCCTTGTCAGTAGTGTCAGGCTGGCTCCTTCCCGTCCCAGTGGCTTCTTCTCCTGAGTTTCCAAGGGAGTTCTAATTCCTCTTTGTCCCTTTCCTTCCCTTTTCTTTTCCCACCTACCCTGTGTGTCTCTCTCCCAAGGATTTGTGCTGCACCATTCAAGTCCCACACCTGCTCCTCACAGATGGTGTTCTACGTTCTGGAAGGCTCTTCTCTCATCATTTCCCATTGGAATTCTCTATATTCAGCAAGGCCAGTGATAGCGAACCTTCTAGAGCTTTCAGTGATGACCATCAGCAAGTGTGCCGTGGCGTGTGTGCCCTGCAAACATTCCCCCCTTTATCTTGCATCTCAACTGCTGACACAGAGGGCTTTGCGTCGGCATGGGTTTGGGGATGTTTTCTCCTCTCTAACAAGCAAGCAGTCAGTTCTGCAGGCAGTCGAAGCTAGGTGTTATCAAATCCAGTTCAGTCCCAGCATTAACTGCCTGGAGGTAGGGTTGGTCCCCAACTCTGCTCCTATTTCAAACCCACTTACCATGCCAGGCCTCTGCAATTTCTGACCATCTACTGAAAGGATTGTCAACCTAGTCGGGTATAAAGACAAATATATTAATTTGGGTCTAACTAGGATTGCAGTATGGAAAAGAAGATTTAAGTAATCTTGAAAATGTGTTCCAAGGCTTTAAAAAGTGATGTCTATTTTTATAGCTTTAAACCACAGGGCTTGGAAATTCCTTCATGTGTTCATCAGGTATTCTGGTTGGTGCTGGAAAATGTTACGCTGTGTTGTGAGAAGGCGTCTGGGTGTGGGCTCAGCCTTCCGGTAGTTTGGGGAAGGAGTCCTTAGACAGCCGTTGGCCGAGGTCAGCAGTATGTTGGGAACCTGCAGTTCGGCTGCTGGACACTCTCAGAACCGTGCCTTTGGGTTTCTCTTGAGGCTTCACTGCACAGGTGATTTATTAAATCACTGGCCAGAGGTGATCAGCAACAGGGCAGCCTGCTTTGGTGTTTTGAGTAACCAGTGCCCATCTTGAAGCCACCTAAGGGCTGCCACCATCCGGGCATTACTAATTACTCATTAGCATGCAGTAAAACAGGATCACTGTGGCGTTTCCAGGGACTTCAGGCACTTTATGCCAGGAAGAAGGTATGAAGAAAAATACAGATTTCCCAGTGTTATAGCCTTCTACTTGTGCAACGTCTCTGCAGTTATTTCCACTCCCCAAAATAGTAAACCTGTGCATTCACTTTGCAGATGTCCCGCAGTTCTGATACAATCTTTTCCCCCATATCCGGATATGTTTGCATACTCTTTGGACTTGGGTAATGATGGAATTTTATCTAACCACTGAGATAGTGGTAGTTGTTGAGTAACACTTTTACTCATGTGAATGAAAGATAGAAATTTTTGCTACTTTGCCTATCACCAAGGAAGGGGTAGTTGGGTATTTTAACTTTTTAAAGAAGTTGTATTGTGCATATTT